CTGCTGCCTCGGTGGGCAATCCCAAAAGGGTGTGTCTTGTGTAATCTCTGAGACAACATAAAATCCAGGTGGATGCAGGGATAATTGTTTTTAACTAGTTCATTAAGTTCCAGTCACAGGTCTAGCCTCCCAGCCTGCTTGCTATCCTGTCTGCTCCATCCATCACGTTTAGATTGTAACATACTTAGTACTGTTGAATGAATCAAGGTTCTTATTTTCAATTAATTTAAGGGTTGGATAAGGTTTCGTCTTCACATTTTAACCCTATTCAGGAGATTAAATTAGGAGAATCCATAATAGCAATAACTTTATATGTTCTGTTGAGAGGAGTGGATTTGCGATAAGTCCACAGCTCTGGTAGCTGATGTAAGTGTATTTATAGATGGTCCCCGAGCAGGTTGTGGTATCTAGCACTGTTTATTGAACTATATACATATATGTAGAACAGGGAGACTTCCTGTGTCATTGATCCTATTGATAGTTGCTGCATTCATAACACACCACCCCAACACCAGATTCATCCTGTCCCTGAATGTTTACCTTTCCCCAGCAATAAAATATTTCAATTTTTCCCATCATGAATATGTTTACAGTTTTATGTCATTATTCAAATACATCCCACTACCTTCCTCACCAAGTCTCTTGTGGCCAAGCTTCAATGCCGTCCTGTTCCTGGACCCTTGGAAGGATGGGCAGAATTGGTATTGAGTGGATGCTCCCTTCTTAAGAGCAAGATGAACAGTGGTTGTACCCTTTCTTTGGTAAATGCCAAATAGTGGAATGCAGTAGGCTGCTCTTGTTGGTGGATAAATCATTTGCCATATTCCCCTAATTGTTGTTTGGATAAATCTGGCTGGGTTCCTCTCCAAGAGGCTCGCATATAGCATGGCCATTGTGTCAGATATCTGGTAAGAGGTGGTGCCATTCTCCAGCAGCTTTAGTGGTGTGTCACATGATTAGAGGTGGCAGATATTTTATCTTGCAGCATGCTAGACCATGGATAAGTATTGAGAAATAATTCTGTACTATATGTATTAGTTTTAGCTTTAAATAAACTCTTCAATGTCAATGTTTCTTTCACTCTCTAGTCTGTCTACTAGTGAAATGGCAGTTCTTCTGCTCTTCATGAATTTTGTGCCTCAACTCTCTATGGAGTAGCTAGTGCATGCACATCTCAGGGTCAATTCGTTGGTTAACCAATTTGATGTTTTTCCCCCAATGGGGGTTGTAGATATCCTCCTCCCTTTTAGTCTTTTAGCTGCTACAAGGGTCCAGCAGAAATTCTCGTCTCTTTTTGCAAGCTTTTGGTTTGGTGCTGGTGCAATTTTCCAGCCGTCCAATGTCCTTCAGGTGTCATTTCAGGCGTTCTGCTGATACATGATGCTCTAGGCTGTATTTCACATTTAGGAAGTCTTCAATCATACTTGTCCTGTTGTGTGATGGCGGGGCCCTTTGGCTCTTTGCTCTTGGCTCAGAAACAACCATTTTCCCAATTCATTTCTTAGGCTCTTGCATATCCAAGACTTCCTTATTTCAGGAATTACCTGGAATGGATTTAGATGCTGCACCAGTAGAACGCTCATTGATTATGACTGCATGGATAATTTCATAATGCAAGGGGATATTCTCGGGTTCTATGGAAGGTCTTGTTGCTGCATCAATTTGTGGCATTGGTCACGATGGTCACGTCCATGATCTTTTTAAAGAGGTACAGAGATTCTTCCTTAGGCTGGTTGTCATTGTTGATAATGCTTCAGTGGTCACCTTTCTCTTCTGTCTACTCAAATAGTGCAAATTCCAAAGTTGCTTGCTCTGGCTGTTTGCTGTACTTAATGATAGCCCAGTTTGTATTTTTGTCTACTTACTCTCTGAAAGGTGTCATATGATCTAGAACTCTGAGTGGCTGCAGGTGTGGGATGTCATCAATAGTAGCTGTCCCAAAGTAACAAGATTTTCTCCACTATTGAGCAAAGAAGCTGTAAGGCTTCACATAGTTCCTTGCTCAATAAAGAGTCAAAAAGATTTGGAAGGATGTAGCCAGTCTGTGAAATTTCTTGTCCACCGTGCCAGAGTCTCTCAGTCATGTGGCCTCTGTTGTCACGGAGGAGTTCTAGGCCATGGAGGCAATATGTGGAGGAAATTCTGTCTCAGTCCCTGCACAGCATCGAGAGTACAGAAAGGGCTGGTCCTATATTGATTAAATCTTACCTTGCAATCATTGATGAAGACCTCTGCACTCCAGAAAATCTGATACCTGGGCGACTTCAGCATACTGAATATAAGAACATGCTGACTTGTTCTCTGTCTAACTTGTATAAGGAGCCTGAGGTAACTCAGAAGTGCTGAAATCTTCAAAGCCATTGTGCAGTCTAGTCTGAGCCCACCATCATGAGGTAACTTTACAGGGCTTTGTATTGGGTGTTGGGCTAAGTTTACTTTCACCTGGTTGCACTTACTTTTGTCAGTCTCACAGTCTGGGGCTGCATGCTGCCGTTCTTGCTTGCTGCTGATCTCAACATATATTGTGGTCTGTTGGTTGCCATTGTTACCGGACCTGTTTGATGGCTCTGCGTTTGCCCTTCTCCAACCACCCCTGCCCCCCTGCCCCAATTTAGCATTTTTATCTAAGGCTGTCTGTTGTGGCCTGTTTTCCTCTGCTGCTGTCTTTTGCTTTCAATCTTTTGTGCTTGCAGGTGTCATTCATGTTGCTCCAAGAAATGTTATTTTGATTTTACTTGTGCACCATGTTGGCAACTGTTTATTGAACAGGAAAAAATCCTTCCATGACTGTGTTGCAGCAATTCCTTTCACTATGTCATAACCTGATGTCACCTCCTATGATGTCATCAGTTATTGCCTTATGCTAAATTAATCAACCCAAATATTAGAGGGAAAATCTATCTCCACACATTTAACAAGTATTTTACTCTCTTTTTAACAACTAGACTCAGTCTCAAAACTCAACCAAATCATACAAAATTCAATACAGGGTATGTATTTTAGAGTATGAAGATCAGTAGACCTAAGATCCAAAATATAGACTGTCAGTTTGAGCCTACAGAGTGGACCAAAGCAATGGTGTAAAAATTATGGGTATAGACTTGGATAAAGTGAGAACCTGGGGTCAGTGGTGGCAGAAATTGGAAGTGTGGAAATTAAGCAATGGATTTGCTCTGATTGGAACAATTGAAAGAAGCATAGTGAGTGTTTTTTTGAGACTGAAAGCAAGAATCCACAGGGTGGGTTAGAGACTAGCATTTATTATATGTTGTAAAAGACAGTTAGGACATGACATGGTTAGCCGACATCATGAGATAAGCTTCACTCATCAGAATATGAATAGGAGCTAATGAGGGTTTTTCAGTACCACTTCTAATTGCTAAGTTGCATGTAGGTAAACAGTACTAAGTACTTACTCTTAAATCTAGCCTGAGGTCTCAGAAGAGACTATTATGTAACTCATATGTAATGTAATTAGCTATTAAGGACAATGTAATAAGCATATTCTATTCAACAAGAGCAAGCCTCACTTCTGCTGAAGATTACATGTGGGCATCCTTCCACATTCAGTGTCAGTGACTTAGACAAATACTAAAAAAAAAATTAGTGACAGCAAATTTACCCAAGGCAACTCAGATGGTTCCGGTGGATACATTCCACAACATATACCAATACAGTTCAGAAACTTGGACAAAATCAAGAAGACAGGAATAATAACTAATTACTAATAGGATGTGGATGGTCAGATGAAGGTATGGAGTCATGAGAAAGAACAATATCTAGAAACAGTACATCAAGAAGGTCAGGGAGGAATATAGGAGCGTCAAACAAAATGGTGGCAAAGTCATTGAAATGGTATGGACAGAGAGAAAATGTGTTTTGGCAAGTGATGGAGATGACATTGCTAAGAAGAAGGAAAACAGAAAGGCCTAAAACCATATGGGAAAGATGCTGTGGTGACAGACTCAAACACATTAGCACTGGAAAACGATTGGATAACTGACAGAAGATGGGAAAGGGTTATCAAGCAGCTCACAGAATTCCCAAATGAAAGAGGAGAAGTTGAAAGAGGCAGTAGCAAGGAATATTGATGTTGATTACAACACCTCATCATATTCCTTGACATGTATTGCTGACCAAAACACAACCAGCTAATTGGGCAGGCAGTCTAAGAAAAGTGAGGGGAATTTTTCATTAATTTTCTCCTGAGTGTAATGCAATTACATGATTCTCCACTGAGCAGTCCACTGAGCGTTTTGTCCAAACTCAATCAGCACATCCGGAGGTGAACAATTGCTGCAACATCAATATCTAATTTGGATAGGAATAAAATGTTTAGCACCGTCATCAGTTGGACTGTCTCCAAATATACTTTTATGTTATCCACTGATTGCCTTCTAACTCATTCTACACTTTAACTTCAGGAACACAAGCATCTCTGTTGTACCACACCTTAATTACCATTCTCCAATTTTAAACCTGAAAAGTGAGTGCTCACGTGTCATTCACAGTGGGTCCTATATTGCAGCTTCAGTGTGGCTTCGTCTAACATGGGTCACCGCATAGGAGGGATTCTGTGTAAATGTTCCACTTCTCCGTCAAGGAGTATTAGGCCCAATTGTGACAATTCCAATGTTGCCCTTGTTGATAGTATCTAATTTAGCACACACCATGCATCAACCTAGAATAATCAGTTCAATTCTAGCACAGTCAGTTCTAGATAATCAAAACTAGTACAGTTCAGTTCCACTTCATCTCAACTGATCTATCAAAGAGAACTGTGATTTAGTTTATAGTTGTATAATGATAAAATAAAAAGAAAATGTCAAAAGACTAGCCCAGTTAATGCTATGTTATTACATATAATAACATATCAACTTGCTGGGTACTGCTTGCCCTTTGTCAGCTTACGCATACAAACATGAAGCACAAACAAGTAAAGATGATGTCACATTAAAAATAGCTCTGATCTCAGTCCCCTTAGTGAGGAGGAGTCTCACCTTCATCGTTGCGTGGCTGCTGTGGAAACATATAGTTTGTCAACACTCTCTGTTTTGTTTCTGGATGAGACTCAGTTTGCAGAGGGATTAGAGCCTTGGACTAAACCAGAAGCATAAGAACAGAGAGGAGATTATATACTGAATGCATTATTTGAATTATCACTTTATCACAAGACAAGGACAAAGCTAACATCAGTAGTCTTTTCATACTAACCGACGATGATGTAGTCACTGTCTCATTTAAATTAAGGAACCACTTGAATAAAGCTCTTAATAATGATTCAAGGGCATCATATCAGAATGAAGATCAGTGACAATGAAAAACAGGTCAGGCAGCAATTCTGGACATGAAAACAGGTCAATGATGTTTCATCAGAATGTTTCTGTTTCTCTCTGCACAGATGCTTCCTGACCTGCTATTTCCAGCATTTTGTTTTGCTTTTATTTTAGATCTGCAATTATTTGTTTTTGTTTTAGTACTTAAAAGGTGAAAACAACCACTTTATAGGATCTAATAGATAAGAGTGAAAATACCTTTGAACTCAATCAATATTTTGACTAAAATGAAATTCTTTTGTTCCGTTTCAGCCTTTGAGGCCATCTACATCCTATGTTCCTGAATTGACAGCTTGGGTTGAAAAACTTCTCATCATGATATGCTGATGCAACCTGCTTGAGCTGGATGCCCTGAGAGCAATCTGAAATTAGGTCTTGTGTTTAACTTAAAAACGTGGATGAGCTGCCAATATTTCCATAGATAGTTCACATTTCTGCAGCACTGAATTTCAAATGCACAGGAAGGGGGTAGGAGGCAACCAGTCAGGATGATTGGAAAAAGACTTCAAGTCAATTTTGGATCTGATGTTAAAGACATCCTCAGAACATGCACTGTTGGTTCCCAAAATTGGGCCCAGTTCATAACAATCTACTCGTATCTACAATGTACAACTAATTATAATGAAGAGCTTTTTTAAACTTTAGATTTCTTCAAACGTTAAAGTGTCTTTGTCTTTACTTACAGGTAAAGGAAGTTTGCAGGACCTTATAAAATATAAAAACACATAAACAAATGGGAAGCTCCAGGAGATGAGGAGGCCTCACTGAAATTCCTATTTGGGAAATCTTAAGTCACTCTTACTGATTATTGACTGATTGGCATTAGATGGACTGAAGAATAGGATTGTAGAGAGTGATTGTCTAATTAGCACACCCTGCAACTATTGTACCTGATTATAAATTGTGGCACGGTGGCTCAGCAGTTAGCACTGCTGCCTCACAGCGCCAAGAATCCCGGGTTTGATTCCACCCTCAGGCGACTGTCTGTGTGGATTTTGCACATTCTCCCCTGTCTGCGTGGGTTTCCTCCGGATTCTCCAGTTTCCTCCCACAGTCCAAAGATGTGCAGGTTAGGTAGATTGGCCATGTTAAATTGCCCGTAGTGTTCAGGGATGTGTAGCTTAGGTGGGGTGGGTCTGGGTGGGATGCTTTGTGGTTTGGTGTGGACTTGTTGGGCCGAAGGGCCTGTTTCCACACTGTAGGGATTCTATATAAAAAATAAATGACCAGCTCTGTATAAACCCTGTAATATCCATTGACAGGATTGAACCAAATGTAAGTGCATGGTTAAGTTGCATCAAACTCAAACTAGTGAGTTCTACTTCATTTTAAAGATATATGCGGTTGCAAGCTGAGAAGTGATGCAAAGGGAAACCATTAAAATTAAGTTTGAATCTGCATAATCATGCATATACGCAAGATAAATTAATATTAATTTTAAGCAGCAAAATCATGCTGTAATTTGTTTGCAGGGCCAATGTTCAAATACGAATCTTGTACGATCACAGTCAAGCCAATTATAGGGTGAAATTTGTCTTCAGGAGAGGTTCAGATTGCTCAGTAGAGGAATATTCAGCCAACAGAATTTAAAATTTGACAGCCTGTACAATTGACAGCATTTCCAGGTAGGCAATGTTATTATCAGGAGACGATTAGTCCAGAGACTCAGGTAATGTTTGGGGGACCTGGATCCAAATCCCGCCATCCAGAGGGTGGAATTTGAATCCAATAAATATCTGGATTTAAGAGTCTAATGATGACCATGAAACCATTGCCTATTGTCAGGAAAAAACCATCTGGTTGACTAATGTCCTTTAGGGAAGGATATCAGCTGCCCTTACCTGGCCTGGCCTACATTTGACTCCAGACCCACAGTGATGTGGTTGATTCTTAACTGCCCTCTGGGCAATTAAGGATGGGCAAAAGAAGCTGGTCTAGCCAGCAATGCCCACGTCCCATGAATGAATAAAAAAAAATTCCTCTATCAAAGCTGATTTTCACTGTCAGAGTCATTCATTTTGGCTTTAGTAAGGCTTCCCCCTTAATTTCCTTCTGAAGAAGCTGGTTCATTTGTGACATTGAACTACAGAAGTTATCATTCTTCTGGCATCTCACAAATGTGTTAACCTTCTTGTGGAGGATGGGATAGAGGGGTTGCCAGACTATTTGACTGCGTGAGACATCTCAAGAAAATTTTGCTGTCATGAACTAGTGTTCACATTCTTTACAGTAGAGGAAAATTTGAAACAGGCCTTTTAAAATATCAAACCTAGTAAGAAACTCCTAACAGTCTCTTTGAGATGTGGGGTGATGGTTGGCGGTAAGAGGGTGTGGTTGGTTCTTGGAGGAAACCAAGAACCCTACTTCCTGGCAATGCCTGGGAGTCCTGGTGCATGCTCAGAGTGCCAACATACTAAGCTATGCATGCCTTGTGCCTTCTGTTTATCATAACCTGAGGGCCCCATCAGCTGCCAAGATGGCACCTGTGGGCTTGCAAAGTGTACCAAGGGAAACCAAGGACTGGGATCAATGTAAGAACCAGACCATAGGATCCAGGATGGCCATAATAGGTTAGCCACATGACTGGATAATGATTAAGGAAGTTGGCAGGAGGGGAAAGGTGATTTATGCCAAAAGTGAGCTGCTGTAGTACGTTCCAGCTAGTTAGAACACTGAAGTCTTGGAGTCCAGTAGGTGTGGGGTTAAAATTCAGGAAAAGCCCTGAGAGCTGTAAGGGCATGAAAAAGCTTGTGAATCATTAATGAGTCAGAGGAACTAAGCGTGGGGTTGAAAGAAACCCAAAAGAAATGTTCTCTTTAAGCTGTGTAACCACCAGGAAGCTCCATGTATGGTGATCGGTGTGCCAATTAATGGCTTCTCTTTCTTGAAGCAGCTGCCATGGAGATCCATGCAACAGCAAAAAAAAATTACAAGGAACATCGAACATGTGCCATATTTGATTAGTGCATCTGAGAAATATTGCAACTCAGAGAAACCCTGGGACAGCACTAGATTAGCGTCTGTGAGTGACACTGGAGTGCAGTCTCAATAATCCTGAGAAGCACAGTTTCAAAAAAGGGAAAGTGAATTGCCAGTGCATCAGCAGTTGTTGAGGCAGTCTGTGATGGATAGGCTTTTGAAGGATGTCCAAAGCTAGGATTGTTGAAAGTGAAGAATTGGAATTTATTATAGAGGAAACAAAGTTTCAATCACATCTGGTGATCCACAGTGACACTGTGTCTGGGGAAAGGGGTGGGGGTGGTGGGTTGAAAAATCCAGGAGATCCGACCTAACTACATTTCGTATTTAGACGTTAGAGGGTCAGGAGTGTGTGTGCGTTTGTGTGTGTGCGCGTCCATGCATAACTTTGTATAATAAAGTTTCTTTTTGGTTGTTCAGAACAGTGGGACCTTGTGGCCTTACCCTTAGTAAGTGCCTGGCAACATAAATAAAATAATACAACAAACCTCTTCAAACAATTTGTTAACCATGACAGTTTCATGCATTAAACTAAAATTTCCTGTTACGTTGATCTCTTTATACCCTAATTGCCCAACTATCCATTGGTTAGCAGTCAGAAGTACAGTCTGGCTGATTTTTCCCTTATGAAGATACAAAAGTGTCAGGAGGAAGAGGGAAAAACAAGGCCAGTAAGAAGTGTAAGACATACTACAGCCTAAGAATACTAACACAATAACCGCATTTGAATAACTATGTTCCTGCTTAAAAATATTTAAATAGAAATCTGAGAAAAATGCTTGATTTGCAAAGAACAACATTTTTCTACATGAATGTTCACTTGTGTGCTGTGTGTGCAGAGCCAGGACAGTCCTCAAGGATGCAAACCTGACCTGGGAGAAACTGCCATTGATGGTTAGATTTACATTCCCGGGGTGGAAGGGTGTGAGGGTGAGCTGGGTGAAATAGAAATGAGGCTCACCAGCCCCAGAAGCAGTTGAGTCATAGCTTGTCATGTGTGGAAACAAATAATAGGCCCACCTCAGTGCTTTGGTATTTTGAGGAAAGGAGTAAAACAAAAACAGCCTTTCAGCCCTCATCCATTCACACATTCCTTATGATCCACCTATGTGGCATCATGACCCCCAACGCACAACTGAGTCTGAAACCTTCATACCCTCCATGTCAATCCATGCCCCTCTATCCATCCCCATAACCTTTTATAGCTTCTCTGCTGACTTGGTGTCAACTGATGTCCACATCCTTTTTTCTTCCTCCAAGGCTACTCATCCAATATCTACATGGCAGACCTCAGAACTATAAAGCAATTAAATAAAGTATTTAAGTGTTCATTGATGAATTCTCTATTTGAAAAAAAACTCTGATAAAAGCTTAGAGATAGTAGGAACAGCAGATGCTGGAAAATCTGAGATAACAAGGTGTAGAGCTGGATGAACACAGCAGGCCAAGCAGCATCAGAGGAGCAGGAAGGCTGACGTTTCGGGCCTAGACCCTTCATCAGAAAATCAGATTTTCTGATGAAGGGT